GGGGGGCGAAGGGCAGCCAGCTGGAGGCCAAACCCAGTTCCCTGGTCCCTAGATCCCCAACCACCTGATTGGGGGATGCTCGCAGCATGCCCTTTCCTTAGTGTCTCTGGGTCCCCATGGCAGGACCTCCGGAAGAGAGGGTGTTTCTGGGACCTCCTCCCTTATAGGTGGGGACGTGACAATGGAGCCCTAATCTTCGGTAGGCCCTTGGGGGGTCGCCAGGCCGTTCTTTCCATCATGGCGATGGGTGTAAGGCTGTTTGGACCCCCAGGGAGGGACAGCGGTACACGCCCAGGGAATTCCAGGTTAGGATGCTCTCTGCTGCTGAGGCCGGGGTGACACTCAGACCCATAGTCCCTGAAAGGAAAGTGTCCTCATTCCTGACCCGAGGACCAATCGGATAGGAAGAAGGCAGGACGTGAAACACGCACAGCATTGCTTAACAAAAGAAGTTGAACGGTTTTCCAAAGAGAAATATTTATTGTTTCTGCCATATTTTTAAAAATTGAAGAATTCCAGTCAAAGGGTCAGCACAAAAATAAAAACAGTAACACACACACACACACACACACACACACACATTTTTGGCCTCACATGTTGTATCATCTCCAGGGACAATGGTTAACTCAAGTCTCTCTCCACTCCCTGCATTTGACACTTCAGATGCAGGGTGTGCTAACTTAATACGCCAAAGAATCAGGTCGGCTGACTCTCTCTTATTTTGGTGTCTTCTGGTCTTTAGGAATAAAGTGAAAGGTTGTAGAATTACAGCAGTTTTGGATATTTTCTGGGTTGATTGAATGACCTGGAATGATTAAGTCATACCTTTGTTTTATAATTTTACAATCTTCTGCCAATTTAACTTGCAAAAGTCAAGGAATGGATGGGACTGATTTTCCAACAAGATAGCATAACAATTAGAACAAAGAGCACCTGTGCTACCTTACAAAAATAGCGAGTGCATATATGACATAGAGGATATGTCATGCCCCTCGCCATATAAAGGCACGCCTCAGCCGTTTGCAGTGAGCACAATTATGGCGAGCTATATTTTTCCCTTGATTTTCATTTTAAGATTACACAATTAGAAAGAACAAAGAGCACCTGTGCTACCTTACAAAAATAGTGGGTGCATATATGACATAGAGGATATGTCATGCCCCTCACCATATAAAGGCACGCCTCAGCCGTTTGCAGTGAGCACAATTATGGCGAGCTATATTTTTCCCTTGATTTTCATTTTAAGATTAGAAATGTGTCTTTCTGGACAAAATTTAACTGAATGCAGTAAAGCCATATTTAAGAATGTGGAAAACCTTTTACAACTCTATCCCAAACCCAAAATGTTAATTTTCCTTCAGCAAATATTAGCATATATTAAAATATTGACAATACCTTACAATTTATTTAAAATTCAGTAGAGTTAAACAAACAGAATATAACCCAGATATTGTGGAAGTGTGGCCTGTCATTAAGTTAATAGTTTTTTTAGTTACTCTTCCCAATACAAATGTTCTAAAGATCTACCAATTGGGCTAAGTTTTCATTAGTCTAAAGCTTACATTTTTTAAAAAAAATCCTCACCTGAAGATATGTTTACTGATTTGAGAGAGAGAGAGAGAGAGAGAGAGAGAGAGAGAGAGAGATTGATGGGTTCCCTCCCTATGAGCCCTGACCAGATCCAACCCAAAAGCTATGTATGTGCCATGACTGGGAATTTAACCCAAAACCTTTTTGATTTAGGGGAGGATGCTCCAACCAACTGAGCCACCTGGCCCGGGCTAAGTCAATTTTTTAAGAAGCTCTCCCCTCCTTCCCCCAATAGATTGAACCTGTTGATTACCATCCACATAACTTTACCCAGGATATTTTTAAAAAAATTTTTATTGTTGAAAGTATTACATATGTCCTCTTTTTTGCCCCATCCACAACCTCCAGTCAACCTCCAACCCCCACCCCAGGCCCTCACCACCCCACTGTCTGCATCCATGGGTTATGCATATATGCATACAAGGTCTTCCTTTGATTAGCTCCTACCCACTCACCCTCCCCCGCCTTCCCTCTGAGATTCCGCACTCTGATCCATGCTTCCATGTCTCTGGATCCCCTCTGTTCATCAGTTTATTTAGTTAATTAGATTCTATATATGAATGAGATCATGTAATACTTGTCTTTCTCTGACTGGCTTATTATTTAGCATGATACTCTCCAGGCCCCTCCATGCTGTCTCAAAGGATAAGAGATTCTTATTTTTTTACTGCTGCACAGTATTCTATGGTATAAATGTACCATAGCTTTTTTATCCACTCATCTACTGATGGGCACTTGGGCTGTTTCCAGAGCTTAGCTATTTTAAATAGTGCTGCTATGAACATAGGTGTGCATACATTCTTTCTGGTGTTTTGGTTTTCTTAAGATATATTCCTAGAAGTCGGATCACTGGGTCAAATGGCAGTTCCAGATTTAATGTTTTGAGGAAACTCCATTCTGTTTTTCATAATGGCTGCACCAGTCTGCATTCCCATCAGCAGTGTACTAGGATTCCCTTTTCTCCACATCCTAGCCAGCACTTGTCATTTGTTGATTTGTTGATGGTAGCCATTCTGACAGGTGTGAGGCGATACCTCATTGTCATTTTAATTTGCATCTCTCTGATAATCAGTGATTTTGAGTATTTTTTATATGTCTCTTGGCCATCTGTATGTCCACTTTGGAGAAGTGCCTATTTAGGTTCTTTGCCCATTTTTTAATTGGATTGTTTGTCTTTCTTTTGTTAAGTTGTATGAGTTCTTTATATATTTTGGATATTAACCCTTTATCGGATGTATCATTGCCAAATACAGTGAGCTTTCCCATATAGTGGGCTCTCTTTTCATTTTGTTGATGGTTTCTTTTGCTGTGCAAAAGCCTTTTATTTTGATGTAGTCCCATTTGTTTGTTTTCTCCTT